ATATAATGCCTTGCCAAGAACACTTTATTAGAGATTTCTGTGTTGGCTTCTGGTGTAGATTAGATGACACCTCAAAATCATCCAATTCTTAACCGCTACAGATCTGTAATATCGTTGTATCCAAAACAAATAGTTACAATATGGCCTGATTCGCAAGAAAGACAGATGCTGAGAATTCAGCGCCAAAGACAGTGCTTCAACAGGCGGGACTGACCTTGTTATCTGTAAGAAAGCATAGATGGGTAAATGGGAGATTGGGTTGGCCCCAAAGCTTGTTCGGGTTTTTCCATAAGATGCTATGGAAAAACCCAAATGAACTTTTGGGCCAACCCAATACTAATCTAATCAAAATTCCAAACGCAAGTGCCTGTGAAGAACTCACACTTCATGGAAGCGCCTGTGAGGACTCTGAGGACCATGCTTCATAGTGGACATCATACTCGGACTCTCCATGGTTTTTATAGGGCTGGATTAAATGACTCCACATTTATAGAGTTCACTGTAGAGTCTGTAAAATGTCTTTACTCCCATCCTAATAATAGTCAAGATTTAATGAGTGACCTCCACATTTCTAAACCTAATGACTAATTATTTGACACACGATTTTACTTATTTATTTTTGGTCTCTCCCCTGCTAGAATGTAAATGCTACGAGGGCAGGGATTTTTTGTCTGTTTGGCTTGCTGCTTTATTCCCAGCACTTAAAAAAGATGCCTTTTTTTTGTGGGGGGGACATAGAGTGTGTGCTTGCTAGATGTTTCCTTAATTAATTAATCAGTCACATCTAACTCTTTTAATAGGTTACTTAAAAGTCACAGTTACTAGGGTTTTGTGTATAGGCAGTCTGATGGTAAAGGCTGACTATTTAGGCACTCTGCTAAGCTGAAAAAACATCTTTACTATTCACAGAATAAATATATCTGAACCCTAAAATTCTCTTACTCTGTTTTGACTGAAACTTGTAGACGGGATCGGAAGCAATGAAATTGACTGACAGTAAATCATTCAACCTTGCCCACAACCATCCTACAACAAACGGCCATTTCTGCTTTCCTTTAATTTTTTAAATGTAATATAACTTTGCCCTAACCTTTGTTTTTAATCTTCTAGTGATACAGATTTGCTGAATTCTGGTTTTTACTTGACTCAAGACATTTTACCCCTTTCTGAAGGGAGTAAAGCATCACTTAAAAAAAAAATATAGTGCTTCTGTTTCTGGCCTGCTTTACAGTTGCTGATTTTCATGTTTATTTATAGTTTCCTTTATTTCTCCCCCTTTTCTTTGCAGATTGTTGTCTTCTGGCTTTTCTATGATAGATTGGAAGGCTGCCTTTATGTTCCAAAAAAGTATACCTAAAAAAAATCTTAGTATCAAAAATAAAATAGTCATTTGCTATTCTATCCTGTCTAAAGTGGGATAATTAGCAGATTTTTATTTACATTCATCAATCCTCCAACTCTTTCTTAGTTTTTGTTGACATAAGAGTGAATTACAGACCCAGATCACAACTGTTAACTTTGTACATCATACATCTTTTCTTTAAGTAATTGCTTTTAATATTAACCTCTTTGTAACATGTTTAGAGCAATTATTTAGCATTAATGTGATATTTAAGTTTCCATGCTCACTTGGGTCTTTTTATTTCATATTTCTCTATTCTTGATTTCTTTATTTTGATTCATTGCTTGGTCAGCTGCTCCTTGAATGATTTATTAGAAGCAGGACCTGTGGGACCCTCAGGATGGTGAGAATGTCTTTCTGATGCATTTACACAAGAACAACAACTTGGCTGGTAAGAAACGTGTGGGCTATAACATCTCCTCAAAAATCCTCCAGGCTTAACTGCATTGTCTTCCGCCCTTTATGATATGGTGAAATCTGAGGGGGCCAAGCAGAGATGTGTTAGACCGAGAATGACTTTCCTGCTCCTGTGTCCCTTTCACCCAACTCTTTTCGGTAAAACTTAATACTACACAGTAATTTGAAAGGGTGTGTGGTTTTTCTCTTGCTAGAAAAATACAATACTCTGAGTGCCAGCTCCCACAGCTTTTTCCTCTCTGTTCCTGTGAGGCTGACTATACCCTCAAGACACCTGGCGTAAGCACCCATCCAGTTCCATTCCTGCTCGTGTTTCATGACAGCAAACCTTAGTTCCCAAATGGGTGTACACACGGGGTGGGATCAGAGGCATGACTAATTAAATGGCTTTATCTCGGAAGCAGTAGTAGAAACTGCTTCTTAGATGAGGCAGCTTCACAGTGGGGTGACTTTTGCCCAATGGCAAAACCGCATGTCTTGAAAACGGTTTCTATTATACGATGTCTGGGGGGCAAGACCTCCAGCAATCCTCCTGCCTCATCTGCTGTTCTTCTAGGACCCACCATGCTCAGGTTGGGGAAATCTCTCCTGGGGTCCATTTTCTAGTTCCCTGGGTTCTACAAACTTGGTCTGTTGCTGGGTTTTCAGGAGAATCTTGGTAGGAATGCGATAGCAGGTGAGTTGAATGAAGCTATGACTCTGCTCCACAGCGTGGAAACCCAACAGCACCTCTCGATATGTTGCCAAGAGGAGGGAAAGCCATCCCTTCTCAGGGTTGTGCTGAACCAAGAAACTGGCTCATATGGGATGCAGAGAACCAAGAAGAAGATGAGCTCCCAGATGCTTCTGGCCATCTTTATATGTCTTCCTCCACAATACATCAGAGTGTTGCATGCAGAGGTAAGACCAGACGGACAGGTGGAAGGCAGTCTGGCTTCTTTTTGTAGTTTTATACTCTCTGTGAGGAATGTTGCTTGAACCAGTAATGAATGCAGAACTGAAATACCAATGTGGAATCTAAATGGGTATGTGGACATTTTAAATGTTAATTAGTTTCGCAATCCAGGTTTCTCATAAGGTAATGACTGCCACTGACAGACTAGACTACCTTGGCCACAGGCTGTTCTGTAAGAACTTTAGCAAATCTTGCTTCTGTCTCAGCTTTCCCTTCTCCAGTGAGCCTCTCACTTCTCCAGAAACACTGTGGAACATGGCACATAAGATTCCCTTACATTGATAGAAGCTCTTTGAGGGCACATACTACATAATCTTAATATGAACTATCGCGTCTAGCAAACGTCACTGTTCATTATCTATTTGTTGAATGAAATATGGCAACCTGAAACAAAACATGTCCACAAAAGCATCCTAGACAGAAAATACTTGAGTATAAGAGGAACTTAAAGATAGTTAGTTTGCGAACGTAAGACCAGATGGGTCTGTGTGTATAGAGGGGAAGTGAATGGTGGAAAAGTTCTTATGTAACTGAAGAAAAATGCCACCTGAGAAGGTGATTGCACTGGTTCTACTGGGACCTAAAAGTATGGATCAAGAGCAATGGGTAGAAACTACAATAAACGATATATTTAAGTCAGTTAAAAAAAAAGCTTTCTTAGAGCCACAGCCTCCACAAAGATCAGCAAAGTTACCACATAAAGAAGTGAGTTCTCTGTCATTGGAGGTATTCAAGAATAAGCACTAACATCATCAAATAAATGCTGGAGAGCATGTAGAGAAAAGGGGACCCTCCTACCCTGTTTGTGGGAATGTAAATTGGTGGAGCCACTATGGAGAACAATATGGAGGTTCCTTAAAAAACTAAAAATAGAGTTACCATATGATCCAGCAATCCCTCTCCTGGGCATATACGCAGAGAAAACCTTAATTCAGAAAGATACCTGCATCCTAATGTTGATAGCAGCATTATTTACAATAGCCAAGACATGGAAGCAACCTAAATGTTCATCATTTGAATGGATAAAGAAGATGTGATATATATGTATATATACATACATATACATATATATATATATATATACACACACACACAATGAAATACTACTCAGCCATAAAAAAAAAAAGAAATAATGCCATTTGCAGCAACATGGATGGACCTAGACATTATCATACTAAGTGAAGTAAGTCAGCAAGAGAAAGACAAGTATCATATGATATTACTTATATGTGGAATCTAAAAAAATGATACAAATCAACTTATTTACAAAACAGAAATAGACCCATAGACATAGAAAACAAACTTATGGTTACCAAAGAGGAAAGGGGTTGGAGGAGTTTGGGATTAACAGATACATTACTATACATAAGACAGATAAACAACAAGGTACTACTGTATAGTGCAGGGAACTATTTACAATATCCTGTAATAAACTATAATGGAAAAGAATATGTATATATAACTGAATCACTTTGCTGTACACCAGAAAGTAACACAACATTGTAAATCAACTATACTTCAATTAAAAAAAGGAATAATTATTAACATCAGTTAACTGTGATATTGTAATATTGACTGAAGCACTGTTTTGTACGTAGGGGGAGGGAGGGAGATATTGGATGACCTTTCAAATCCTTTACAGCCCCGTGATTTTGTAATGTTATGACTGGCACTCCTCAGTAACCAAAAAAATATTTGACACAAAAAGGTTACCTTGTCTTCGGGAGAAAAATACTTCCTAATGTGACTAACGGTAATGATAAAGGGGTTAGCAGTCACTGATTAACTAAAACATGTTTAGTGCATTAATAGATATCAAATTTATAGGTATTCTTTTATAGATGAGGAAATTAAGTCTTAGATCTGCATATGATTTGCCCAAGTGAAACACCTTTCTATCCTCTAATACAGGGGTCTCAGAATTTTTTTCTGTAAAGGGCCATATAGTAAATATTTAGGCTTTATGCAGCATACAGTCTGTCTCAACTACTCAAGTGTACTGCTGGAGCATCAAAGCAGTTACAGACCATGGAAATGAATAGGCGTCACTGTATGAAAAACCAAAAGCCAAAAACCAACAACGCTTTACTCACAAAAAAAGGCATGGGTCAGGATGATTTGGTCCACGGGCCTTAGTTTGTCAACCTCTGCTCTAAAGTCATGCTGCCTTCTCATTTAAGAATGGAAAAACAAGGCAAGACATGGCCTCCATGTGGCCATACTTACTCCATTTGCTTTGCTGAGTGCCTGGAAGTAGATGCTGTAGCTTTTCAGAGGGGAAAGAGGTGGGTTCCAGTAGCCATTGTATGTCTTGTTGTCACCCACTGTAAATGGCTGGGTGACAGGCAGGTTGGCAGGCTTCAACTCAGCAGCAAAGTAGTGTAGAGAATCGAGGCTGGAGGCATTCCTATAGCTCACCGGCACCGAAAAGCACTCAATGATGTCAGCTGCCCTCCGTGACTTCTGAAGTCGCTCCTCCTTGACAACCAGCTGATAAACACTGGACGGGAAAGAGGAGAGGCAGATGAGCAACCCCCTGGAGGGATGAACTTTTATCATCGTCACTTCTGTCTGCAACTTAAACCTCCCTCCTGAGCTTCAGACTTATAAACCCGCTGCTTTGTAGAAACAGATTTCCATTTAGATGTTCCAATGCCAGCTCACACTGCGTATGTCCAAAAATGCAACTCAGTTTCAACCCCTACAAACCTGTATGCTCCTCTTCTCCATTTCTTTCCTTAGTGAGGGTAGCACTGCTCATCAAGTGGCCAGATCGTGAAGACGGGGCTCATTCTCATTTCCTGTATCCTTGGTTTGCACTCTGCTTTGATCAACAAGCTCTGTTGACTTGATATCAGCAATCTGAACCTGCCCCTCCCTTTTTTTCTCCTCCCATCAAACTGTTGAGGTTGGGCACTTCCCCACCTCTTAGCTGAACTCAGCTAGTCTCTTTGCCTCTAATTGATTGGATCAACTCACCAGTCAATCCACTGACCTTCCTGAACATAAACACTGTCCCTCTTCAAGCACGTTCATAGGCTATCCATTCTTCAAACGAGACAATCTAGACTCCTCATCCTGACCTTTGGGGCACTTTGTCTGGCTTCTAGTCTACCCCTCAGACAGTCTTATGGTAAACCTCTCATTGCAGCTGCTGCAGACCCCATGCTATCGCACAAACCTCCTTTGGATCCCAGCCTATGCCATCACCAGTTCGTGCTTCCTCCATCTGCAACGCCCTCTCATTCAACTTCTGCCTGTGGAAGCCTTTCTCTAAAGGCTAAGCCTATCTTTCATCTCCTCTATGAAGCCGGTATAGATCCTCCAAATCTGAATGACTTTCCCCCTACTTCGCTCCTCCACTGTTCGTTAATGGCTATCTGCTCGGGACGGCAATAACATAAGCATGGAACTGCTGTTTCTAGGTCTAGACTGTGACCTTTTAGGCAGTGGAAGTTGTGGCTTTGTTATCTCTGTATCACTCTCCTCCATCCATATACTGCTCAGCAGGTTGCCTGATACCTACATAGTGATCAGTGAATGCCTGTTCAAATGGACCAAATTGAACTAAAATTGAAAATAAGCATGAAACCCAACCTGACAGGATGCAGAAACCCTAATCAAGATAAACAGTGATTCTTCTGAGCTCCTATCTAGTGATCTCACACATTCCCTTCAACTTAGAAGGACTGTAAGAAGGTGTTAATGTGTGAAGAGAGATGACCGAGCCTTTTTAAAACACCAACTGTATGCCAAATGTGTAGGCTCCTTTTATAAAAGTTATCCTAAATTTTGTGAATTTTGATAACATTTTACTATCTCTTCAAATGCCCACAGTTTGTAGTTCTCTTGAATAAATGCTCTTTTTTTTTTCTTTTTTAAGATCTTTATTGCACATATCTCTGGGACTCATGATTTAAGCCAATTATCCAAAGAGTACCTCCAGGAACTTCTGCAAATTAATGAAGTGATTGCAGCAATGGCCTCAAACCAATCATTTAAAGATGACACAGTGAACGAACACACGGTTTATAAAAATGGAACGTGGTGAGTGCTACCATTCTTCAATCAGACTACCCATCTAAAGACACTTGGTTAAGAAGCACAACTTGGTGGAGACAGAGGTACAGGATTATTTAATTAAGGAAAAAAGGCTACAGAGGGACTGACCCAAGGAAACATGACACAATCAATGTGTCAAGTCTTCCCCTGGATCTCCTTGAGCATGGGGATGGTCAGCAATGCGGATGGGAAACAAATGGGCATGTGAGTGCTGCCCCTGGATGAGTGATATGTGAGTGGAGGTGAGCAACAGCTCAATGAGATGCCTGCTATCTGCTGTGCACATCTGGACAAGAACTCAACACCCAGAGTGCATGTGAGTGACATGTGAGTGAATGTGGCCAAACTCTCTGGGAGTACAAACTACATCTGAGTATGAACGATGTCCAAATGAGGATCTGTAGGACCTGGGTGTCTGAAAGCTGAGCGAACATGTATACTCTCTGAATGAGCGGGTGTAACATCCAGACAAGTGTGAACCTGAGTGTTTGGACACCTAAATAAGTGTGTATGAAATCTGAGTGAGTGTCTCCAACAGCCCAAAGTGTGTGTATGTATTTGTGTGTGTGTGAGACATCCAAATGTGTATATAAAACTGAAGTCAACAGGGCTTCCCTGGTGGCACAGTGGTTGAGAGTCCGCCTGCCGATGCAGGGGACATGGGTTCGTGCCCCGGTCTGGGAGGATCCCACGTGCCGCGGAGCGGCTGGGCCCGCGAGCCATGGCCGCTGAGCCTGCGCGTCCGGAGCCTGTGCTCCGCAATGGGAGAGGCCACAACAGTGAGAGGCACGCGTACCGCAAAAAAACAAAAAAACTGAAGTCAACAAATAATTAAATTAAATTATGACTTTAATATTCATCCTATCCTCAACTCTGAGGTCTTTTTCAATGGTACCATCACTATGTTTATCAGGTCAGTTAAGCTCAAAACAGTCCCTGAAAAACAGCACAAAGACCCAAGTCCCAAACTGAGGTCATGGGGTGAGAGTGGAGGAGCACCTATGCCAGTTTTCAGGACCTGTATTCCTTTACATATAACAAGAATCTCGAGTAAAACTGAAGCTGGCTAGTGTGCTAAGGGCTACTTGTTGAGGGTCCATTACTCATGTGACTCTAATCTATGAGGGAAAGGGCAAAAAGGAATTAAGAGAAAAGGAGCAACAGCCTCTTGGGTTCACCTGTCCATGCTTGCAATAGCACCTACAATACTCTACACTGGGCTTGGGGGGCACTCAACCGATCCAGCCCTCATGCCCTCTTGACCAGGTCGGGAGGGACCAACAGCCTCATCCCTAGAAGCAGGACGTTGAAAAGAGCTATGGGTCCCTGTTTTCCCCTGAGGCCCAGTCTATCCCTATCACCACTTGGGTTAATCCCACCCACACGAGAAGACCTCTGTCTCTGTTTCTCAGCCCAGAACTCTCATGCCACCCTTGAATCCTTCTGTCATCCTTACCCCAAAACCTTGGGAGCTTCACTGGGGCTGGATTCCACTCCCTAGAATCATTCTGTTGTCCCTGTCCCTCCGATAATGGGATGGATCAAGAAGCGTCGCAAGGCTGGCCCGTGGGCTGCCCATGAGTGGCATGAGATTCTGCAGTCATGGACAGCCAAGCAGTGGGGTCTTCGCTGAGCTCTGACACGTGAATGCTGCCAGGGGCTACAGAGAGAGGCAAATCATCTCTCCAGGGGTCAGCCTGCGACCCCACTGCCCCCTCCTCCCCACCAATCTGATTATTGAGGACTCACTTGTCAATTCAACCAAACTCAGCAGCCCGATTACAGATGAGGAAACTGAGGCTGAGAGGCTGAGTGCCACATGGGTGTCAAACTGCAGCAAAAGTAGAAATCCAGACCCACAGTCAGTTCAGTATCCTTTCTTTTTCTCTACCTTCCTTCTTCTTCCATAAGCCAACAAAATGTGCAGAGGGCCTTCCAAGCAGTTTTTTTTTTGTTTTTTTTTGCTTGGCAACTGAAATTGCATAGCTCTATTCCACCCAGCCTCGTCTGAAATCACAAAGACTAGCAAAGGACATTTTGGGGGTTAAACTGTGCTGTCAACACATGGTTCACATACAATTGGGATCAACGTGCCAGAGCACACCCAGCAGCTTCCTGAGGCCCACTGTGTCTGTAGTCTGTCCATGCAGAGGCAAATCTACAACTGCAGCCAGAAAGCTGGAAACCATTTCGTCATACGAATCTTTTTTTGCCAGGGAATGCAGTCTCTCTCAAAGATCTGGGAGTTCTGACTAAGGGGAAGGAGGTAAGAAATGGCCGAGCAAGTTATGCGACTTTCCTGTCCCTGAACTGCATACTGTAGGAAGCGGTGGGAGAAAAACGAGAGAGGGGGCATTCTTTTTGTTTCTGAGGTAACTTCATTCTCATCAGCATTCTCTTGAAAATAATATATTTATCGAAGCTCTTTTCAGCTCGCTGGTGATGATTAAATCATACCTAAATGAGACTACCCACTCTCCCCAGCCCAAGTCATTATCTCTAGTGCAAAATAAGTGGTTAGAATAAACTATTCAGGATCATTTGTAAAAAGACAGGATTTTTTTAAAGTAGAAAATTCCTGATAGTACGAGAATAACTTATTCTTTTCTACGCTTACCTCACTACATACAATGTTTACTCATACATTTCCCCCTCCTGTGATACCTTCTCTATTTCTCCCAATGAGAAGGTGGACATTTATGACCACATGTTCTGCATAATTTATTATAAGGGTCTCTTCTTTCAGGACCCTGAAAGCTAGGCTGCAACCTCACCTCAATGCATAAGGCCAAGGGGTATTTGTACCTCTTTGACCTCCTTAGCTTTGGTTTCCTCACCGTCAATGTCCATTGTTCATCCTCTTTCTACAGTGACTGATACGCTCCCTCCCCTCTCCTCCCTGACTCTTCAGACCCAGGCTTGCCAGCAACTTCTATATTTTAGTTTCAGTGTCTCATGAGACAAGAATACTCTACTCTGGTCCAAAGTCCAAGACCCCAGCTCGTAGAGGTCAATAGCCTTAGATGCCTTTAAGAGCAAAACCTGCAGGAACCTCTGCAGGCTTTGGAAGAACCCTGCCGTGGACTCTCATGCCTCCTCTGCTTCCCGAATTAACAGTTTAGAGGATGACTCACGCTCCTCTGACCAGGTACCACTGAGGGGCACCAGGGACCTATCAGACCCATGCCTCCATCATAGACACATCCTGTGGCGCCCTTTCTATATCCAGGGAAGATGTTTCCAGCCAGAGGCTGTATCCATTCAGAATGTTGAAGTCAGAAGACAGATAGAGGGTATGCTGCCCAACTTCAGAAAGTGGCATATTTGAGCCAATGTTCTCCCAGAAATAGGTTTGTTTTAGTTCAAGTTCTTCTAGAAACAGACCCTCAGCTAAAGTTTCAATGCAAATAATCTGTGAAAGAAGTGGTCCCAGGAGAA